TGATTTATGTCCCTTTGAGGGCAGAACAGATTGATCACCCCATCCTGATAACAGAATGTGTATGCAATCCAGTCCAATCTCGTAGTAAAATGGCAGAGCTTTTATTTGAGACCTACGGAGTTCCTTCAATAGGTACAATCCTTGTTGAACTTATTATGTTCTTTAATGACTGGGCACCATATTTTATGAAATAATGTTTTTAAGCTTTTTTCTATGGCTGCCCTTGTCTGCTGGGTGTCACGGTCCTACATTCTTGACCGTGCGGCGTCGTGATCTATACATGCTCACGACCAGCCTTAAGGGGAATTAAGCCCCATTATATTTTTCGCCCCGGCTTTGTGGCTTCGTCGGACCTTAGGCGAGGTTTGCCTTCGCCAATCGAACATCGCTTGTGCGGAATCCAAGCTTGTTCAACCACACACGCCGCCTGTGCGTGTATGTTCAATCATCTGCGACACATCCGACTTGCCTCTACGCTAGGCCAACCCATTCGGCTCGACCTTGCCTCTGCTCGGGCCAAGGTCTCTCAATACAACGTCGCATCTCATCTTGCCACCTCGATCCCCATCGACAGGGTCCATATGTCTTGACGCCATCCCGAGTCTCGGGATGTCGTCGCTCATCATAACTCGTTCGGTCATGCCATCGAGAATGGGCCCACGTGTCGTTCATCTCATCGGGACTTCCCGAACATCCATCCATCCGGGTTCTATCGAGGCATAGGCCCTCCCGTGCCCATGCCGAGTCATTTGCGGATACCGTACCGGATAGCGGGTGTATGTAGCAACCTCCGACACGCGGGCTAGGGCGCAATACCGGCACACCCGTGCCGTCCGGTACTGTCCTTCAAAAACCCATTTCAAAGGAAGTCGCCCCGAGACACTCGTCTCGGCACGCTCGCCCACACTGTGACACACGTATGTGCCACAGGGTAGCTCACTTAGGCCACAGGGCCCAGGGGTGGTGGAGAGCTAACACCATGGTACCCCTTATAGTACATTTTGAGCCATTTTCATTCTACCAGGAGTAGACATGATTTTCGTGAGGTGTCATACGGTGTCGTGCATTGTTCGTCCAATGTCCGATTGACACCAAACTTGGCGAGCATTCATATTTCATATGGACGGACTTAACTCCCGAACCGCATGACCAAATTCCTTCCGAAACCTCGACTTTTGAGGTTAAGGCCCGGGGCCCTACCCGGCCCTTCAACAAGCCTATCTTGTCCTTCATGTCTATGCTGATGTCTTTGTTATGCTTGTGTCTCAACATGTCTTCAATGCCCACTTTGCATGGTGGTGTGTTGGATGATGCATCGTCCTCCTCGATTGCATCATGGCATTCTTCTACGTTGGCCCGCATATGGCCGGATGGGCGTCTCTTGAGGGACGCCCCTTTGCTTGTCATGGCGTGAGGGTCACAACCTACTCTCTTCATAGTAAGGTTGTGACATTCTCCCCCACTTAACTTAGTCATCGTCCTCGATGACTTACTCGGGTCACAATCATATTGCGGATTGTGACACTGGGCTCCAGATTAAAACTTAATATATTATGTTTGGCTTGTTGTAGAAACCTCTAGACGTAACCTTTACTTAAATTTACTAATAATATTTGGTTCTGCTTCCTTGACAATGTATTTTTCCTCTCCTTCTATGACTGTACTACAGCATATGGTGTTGATGCGGCATTCAGCTATATGTACAACCAACAACTTGGGATTTGTGATAAAGATGGCCTTGCTTTATGCCCAGGCTTTACTGCAAGCCATGTTATTCCGGTTTGCTTTGTTCTTTCATCCTCTTACCAGTTCATAAATCTCATAAATTAATTGTTCTTTTTTCTTCTGAAATTCCCCCCAGCACACCTAGTCAAAGTCAGTTTTCCTACGTCTGTGTTGGCAGTCACTGTATGTATGAGTTTTCTTGCTTATAATGCATGAAATTGTGTATTGCTGTTGATCTTTCTGAGTATATCAATGCTTGAGTTGGTGTTAACATTGTTGTTGTTTTTTTTTTTCTTTTGTCAATTGGCTTTTCTTTTCTTTTCTTTTCTTCAACAATTTTGCATCGTTATAATCTTGTTGATTTGAGGTTGTCTTTGAAGCCTTCAACTTTGATGTTTCTAGTTGTACTATTCCATACATGATTTTATAATTGACTACTGAGTGAACTGCATCTAGGACACTTGATTTTAGTGGAGAGTCAATGATAATTTTATCACCTATCTTTATTGTCAGTTCATTGACGGGGAGCCTGTTTATAAAGGATGCTGCAGAACCAATATTGGTGGATTTCACGTGACTGATTCTCTGAAGCAACTTCTTTCGCTCAAATACCCTTATCACATGTAAGTATAATTCATTTAACATATATACCGGGTGTAAAGTTTGCAAAAAAAAAAAAAAAAAAAAAAAAAAAAAATTTTGTTCATTCCAAAGGGCCAGATTCACGTTGGAGAAGGTTGAAGACCTGAAGATGGAGCATTGCTATATAGCATCAGATTATGCATCAGAGGCTCAATTGTTTCAAGTAATCTTCTTGGCTTTATTGTTATTGTTATCATCGTTGTGTCTGTCTTTTCACTCAGTTTGAGTCCTATATCTATGAACAGAAAGGGACCAAGGAAGCAGAAAATAAAACTAGGTGTTGGCAGCTCCCATGGATTCCACCACCTACTGAAGAGCCTCCCTCAGAAGAAGAGATTGCAAGAAAGGCTGCAATTAAGGAAAAACAAGGTCAACGATTGAGAGAAATGGCTGAAGCAAAAAGATCTTCGAGGATCAATGAGCTAGAAAATGAAGTGCGTGGTTTGGAGTTTCTTTTACATCAGCTTGTGCAAGTGGCAGAGGTTGATATTCCGTCCTTCTTGTCAGAGACTGGCTACGTCTCGAAGCAGGAAATTGAGTCCGCTTTGACCAAAGCAACACAATCTTTGCGGAAAGCAAAGGGGGAACCAAAGGATGATCAGGCGGAAGCTGAGGATCATACTGACGCTACAAATGAAAAGTTCCATCTCGTCAACGTCCCTGATGATGTGCTGTCACCTGAGCAGGTAAAAGAAGGCTGTACATGCATGATAAACGCCTGAATGTTTTAAATATTTGTTCTGTGTTGTTCAGCTGCCATGTAGTCTTCGTTAAGAGGTTCCAAATGATATTTGTGAATTTCTCCGTAAAGAAACAACTCCCCTGCTGAAGTAAGCACTTCTCTTTTTATAATGATTGAAATTTATGCAGTTTAATTTTCTTGGCAGCTTAAGGAGAAAAGAAGGCAATTGTTTCTCAAAACCACTTCTGAAGGACGACAGCGAGCCAAGCAGAAACGATTTGAAGAAGAGTTAGAACGGGAAAGGAGAAACCAGCTAGATGAAGAAAGGAGATTGTATGCACACAATTTCTTCCTACATTCATAATTTTAGTGTCCAGGGAATCTAATTATTAGTTATGTGCCTGCTGAGAGTTACCATTGCTCATTTGAATGGTTCCAGTACTACGATGCCATTATACTGATTTTTTGCAATGATCCACTACTTGTTTGATGCTTATTTTCGCATTTATGTTTCTTCTGTTGTAGGGAGAATCCCGAGATTTATTTAGAGCAACTGCATGCCAAATACAAGGAGGTTTCTGAAAAAGTGGAGCAGCGAAAGCGGCTCAAGACTAATGGAGGTCATGCAAATGGGAATAATTTGTCTGGAGGAGTAGGACGTGGTGAGAGGCTGAATGCTGCCCAGAGGGAGAGGATGCGTCTTTTAACAACAGCAGCCTTTGATCGTGGGAAGGGTGAGGACACCTTTGGTGCAAGAGATGAGGATTGGCAGCTTTACAAACTTATGAGCAAAGATAACAATGACGATGACGATGAAGGCCCAGATGAGGATGAAGTTGAATTGATTCGTCTATCCTCTAGGCTCCAGGTCAGTCCCATCACAACTTACATAAGTCAGTTTTACCTATTACTGATTTCACATTTCAGTATCTTGATCTTGAATTACGTGAGATATTAAGTGTAATCTCTTACTGCTGTAATTAGGATATAGACCCCACTTTTGTTCCCAAGTCAGATGTTGCTCAACCAACCGAAGTGCCAAAATTCCGTCCTCTTACCAAGGAAGACTTCCAGATTGTTATGGGGGTTGAAAGGTTCCGATGCCCCGAAATTCTATTTCATCCCAACTTGATTGGAGTCGACCAGACAGGATTAGACGAAATGACTGGCGTCTCATTGCGAAGATTGCCATCGTACAGCGATGATATTGCAGAAAGATTGACCAATTCAATCCTCATTACAGGAGGAAGTTGTCTTTTTCCTGGCATGAGGGAACGTTTAGAAGCTGGAATTCGGATGATCAGGCCATGCGGGTCACCTATTAGGGTGGTCAGAGCACTAGATCCAGTTCTCGACGCATGGAGGGGGGCCTCTGTTTATGCTGCTGGTGCACAATTCACAACACAGACTTTCAGTAGGATGGATTATCTCGAGAAGGGTGAGGATTGGCTTCGCAGATACCAATTACGGTACTCGCTTTAGTTAATTTTTAAGTTGGCTGATAGCTTCTGCTGTATCCTTGATCGTTTATTTTTAATTGATGTATGGTACTTACTACCCCATGATCTAACATGCTTGGAGTATAATGTCGATAAAATCAATACATGTCCTTTGCGAATTACCTGCCATTTCAACAGCTATGCTTCACTAATTTTACCGTTTTGGTATGAGTTACTTTATAAGTTAAATTACTTTTATTTTTGAACTTTCAATTTTATACTTTATAGACTTTTGACTTATATGACCTAAAATTGAATTATTTTAATATGATCTGGCCATCAAAGAGTGCTCAACTTCAACACTAAATGCCCTATTTCTAACACTGCCTGACTTTGTCAAGAACATGAAAGTATTGGTGGGAATTCAATAAACCAAAAAGAAAGGAAGAACCCTTAAGGTCAAAATATCACCTGTCTAAGATTTACAGTTGAGTTTCATGATATTCATCGGCTACAGTAAAACTGAACATATTGAATGTCTAAACACAGAAAGAATCCTGTTAGAATTTCATTATTACAAGAATCATATTTACAACTGACAACTCCTCCCAAATGGGATGGCTAAACAATGAATCAAAGTGTGAGGATACAAGAAATTAAAATCATGCTTACAATTTGCCTTCCTTGGTTGATTACAGCAGAGTCAAATGTACCTACTTTCCTTTTTTACATTAAATGTGGGAACTTTCCTGTTAGACGAGAAGCCTAACAGCTGGAGCCCTCAATGGCCTTCACAACTCCAGCTTGATGATGCTTGCTGTGTTGCTTTGCCTGATGCTGCGACCAGTAAGCATGTGCAGCCAGCACCCGGTCCAGAAGTTCTTGTGGGACAGGCTCGCCTCTTCTCTGCTGAGGCGATATTCTCGCCGTGTGAACCAGGGTTTTCCATTTATCCTGCAACACACCCTCATCAGGTTAGACTTTTATCTGTATGCTAGAAACCGATCACCTGAACACATGTTAAGGAGAAGGCAAATCCACCTTCAAATCCACGTAAGTTCGGTGATCTGCATTCTCAAATGCACGAAACTTAACATCCCGCCACCTGCAAAAAGGAAACACCAGATTTCAATTGGTTTTTAACTTGTGCTTCACAATGACATCAATCATGTTGTTAAAGAGCATTGACAAACCTTCCAGTTCCTAGCTCCTCGACGGCTTGAACCAGTGCTTCTACTTCTGAAACAGAGAAGGGTCTCCTAGTTCGACGCTGTACAACTTCCGAACGCTTAGATTTTGGATTCAAGGGAACTACAGCTAATGCTTCCATAGTCATTTCTGGAACAGGGACTAAAGCTTTACAGTCTTGTAAAGAATTGTCAGGTAAATTGTCAATGCTGGTAGTAATCAGTTCATGTTTATTTTCATCTTGGATTTTGGAGTTGGTCAATGTAGTATTAGGTAAGGCCACAACATCTAGTATTCCCGAGCTCGAAACAGGATTTACAGGCGAGCTGTGAAGAAAGTGACAGCATATATATATAAGCTATCAGATAGAAGCGAACAATCCAAGTAGAAGAACTCATGAGAACACCGAGTTCTTACATAATGAACTTGTTTACCCAAACCAAGAAAACAATTACGGAAGTTCCCGAGCCCTCGAAAATCTTGAGATTAAAGGAAACAAACCCAGGTTGTTTGTTTGAATGCAATGGTAATACCTGGGTACAAGTTCAGTTATGTCACATGCTAACATCTGAGGATGATCCTCAGAACACAATGGTGAAGTTGTATTATGCACAAGATTTGGCTCCAATGTGAAACCAACGGTGTCCAAATTGTCTTTACAAGAGAGTCCTGTCTGCAGTAGGGTTCTGTTGTCGTCTCTGACCTTCTTCCCGTGAACAAGAACCCCGACGTGTAATCCACCCTTGAGAATAGCGGTTACTGCCTCAAGTACTATCTTCTGGAGAAAAATAACATAAATACTGCTTTAGGAAAGGGAGAAAAAACATCCTTTACCAACTGAAAGAAGGCGAACTGCACTTCATTTTACCTTCAGCGAACCAACAGTCGCGTTTTCGGGGACATCAATGAATAACTCTGGCACCTTGAATGATCTAATGCTAAATTTTACTGTCGAACAATCGAGCAGATGAGAAACCAACCATAATGCTAAGTTTGAAATGCAAGAAAGCTTCAAGAAACTTTCATACCATGAGAATCTTTGGAATGGAAGGATGCTTGTTGAGCTGATGATGTTGTCACACTAGCTGCATTTACAGAGGAAATTCATTGAGATTACTGGAAACAAAAATGTTGGTTTTAAAGCTCATAAAGGACACTAAATTAAGCTGAGGACCTCCATGTAATACTGCAGCTAAGCCAGACTTATCGATGTGGATACTCTTTTCGGGAGAGTTCGATACACTTTCACTGCTCATCCCTTCATCAGAATTCACAACGGAGCTTCGGTCGAAAAATCTCCTCCTTTTGTAAAGACCATCCCCGTGGAATCTTCTCTCACTATTGAAATACAACTTCCTCTTGCGAAAAGGATTTCGCGTTTCGTCGTCTATGGAACCTGATGCGAAATGGAACAGTAAGTTACAATGAGTTAAGATGAAAACTCGAAAATCCATAGTTAAGAAATCTCACCAGATCTAGGAACCTCACAGTCCTTCAGTTTTGGAGCTGCTTTCCAGTGTTTTGAATTCAGTAATTTCCTTATTCGTCGGCCTGCAATTCGCGATGGAGGCCTGAAAGAGTTCGAGTGGAAGCTAGATTTATTGGACCTAAATTTTTCATCTTCATCTCTACTTGCTAACTTAAAGTAATTCCTATATCTGGAAAACAAACTGCGAAATCCAGTTTTGAAGCTTGAATTGGCCATAGTTGGTGATTTTTTCAAATCCTTAGAACCGTGTGAATCAGCCATGTTTGGAAATCCATGCTGTTCTTCATTTATGATCTTCATACCAGTGTCAGTTGATTCTAGAGAATCTGGGGAGCCTTCCTCTGGTTTAGTACAATAATCTCCGAACTCTGTCTTGCAAACCACAGGCTTAACATCACCACAGGCCTCATCCGAGCTGTTGGAATTTACGACTACCGAAGTACAATCGAAAACAGTAATATTATCTACATATTGGAGTTTCTTCAGATTTTGTTTCTGATCAGTTGTTTCTATAGCAAGATCACAACTTTGGCTGCTGCCACCATCACAGCATTTCTCCTTGAAACCCTTCTCTTGGTTCGATTTATCTTCCTTGACGACATTCGTGCCGATCACCGAGTGATCTCCATCGGATGTGTTGCTGCACGCCGTGCTTTCGCCATCTTGCAGAAGCTTCCCTGCTAAAGAAGCCAGCAGTTCAATTGCACAGATCTGGCCATCCTCGAAATCCTTCTTTGAATGAACCCTCTTCTAGAATCAACAAGGACAAAACTCAGTAACTAAGGTGCAGTTCAACAAATCAGAGAGAGATCTAAAGAGGAAATTTTACTCACTCGAAAAGATCTCGGACATCTCGGAACGGTCCAGTCCGAAAGGCCATTGAATCCATTATCCAACCTCTTCTTCATCACCATGTCTTAGGCATTCATTGTGATAAAAACTCATCAAACACAGAGATTCACCACTTTCACTGTCAAATCATCCAAACAACAACAGATCAAAATCATTCAATTTAGAAATTTGATTCGAATTGGAATGCAGACAAACACGATTCTTTACTACAACAATGTTAATGCAACGAAGTTTGAGGGTAAAATTGATAACCCAGATTTAGTCTCCAAGAATATTCAAAATTTGAATGTGACAACGAAGAAACTTGAACTGGAAATCTGGAGCAAAGCGATGAAAGAAGTTCCAATCTCAACAACTTGATTAGCTTAGAAGCAAAGAGATAAAGGAAAAGGAAAACACAAATCCGGCCAAAACAAGCTGATTCAAAATCAAAACCCAATCCCAAAAACATCTAAACCAAAGTTAAATCCACAGGATCGGATCTTAAACCCAGTAAAACTTTCGAACTTCATACAATTTCTGAAGACCCAATTGTTCATAATTCCAACACAAATGAAACCAACAACGCAAAACCCATCGAAACAAAAGGAAAAGCGAGAACCGAACATCCCGAAGAACACGAACCGATGAAACAAAATCCAAACTCAGAAATTGTGCGCGCAAAAACAAAAAGCTCACCAGTAGAGGAAGGATCGGCATAAATCATGCAAAACCAAGATCCAAATTGGAGCTGAGATTTCAAAAGAATTCCAGAAAAAACAGAAACCCAAATGGAAGAAGAAGAAGAATGTTGCAGAATTACACGAAATTCAAGGTGGAGATCCGGAATGGAGAAGGGGAAAATGAAAGAGATCCATGAAATTTCAGAACCCAAATCCCAAAGAAAGAGTTTGAAGATGAAAATCTCTGTTTCTCTCTCTCAAACGGAGGAATACATAAACAGTGCCTAAAACCTCTTACACACAGACATATATCCCAAAATGTTTGACCATCAAACCGACACATCCGGTACACACCACCGTGGTTACCGGCTATATCGGGTTAAACCCACCAAAACCCCTTTTTCTTCCCTCTTTCCCTCTCTAAATATCCACACACACACCGCTTCTGAACGTAATACTTTACCATTACATATTTTTAGAATAAAAATACAAAATTAAATAATTCATTATAAAAAAAATTTTAAAAAAAATTATGCAAGAGATTGATCAGAGGTTGTGCATTGTCCAGTCACCCTCAAGGGCTAAGTGGGGAATTTGGTGGACCTAATTTTTAATTAATATTTATGTTTATTATTTTATTTTATTTTAGGGAAGAGATTTATTTATATATATAAAAATAAAATAAAGATAAAAAAGGAAAAATTAAAGAAAAATTGAAAATTATGTGGCGAAGAGAGGCGTAAGAGTATATGGAGAAACGTGTGAACCAAAGTGGTTTGCGGATATCCCATTAAATTTTTTTTTAATAAATAAATATATAAATACAATAAATAAATAAAAAGGAATTTTGCATTATCCGTGTGGGACACGTCTCGTCCAGACAGGTGGATAGATAAAGCGCGCTTTACTATAAGCCAATTGTTATTTTACTGGATAGGCTCTTCCTTAACCTCCACGTGTCCTTTCGGGGGCCCATTTTACTTTCCATGGGCCCGGTTTCTGGGCCGGGTTTCCTTACAATTTTCCGAATATTATATTTCAATCTTATCTTATCTTCTTTTCCACATCAAAGTTTTGAAATTTTATTTATTCGTGAAAACTTAAATACAGCTTTTTCATATTTATAATTCATTCATTTATGTTCTTTTTTTAAATATATTTTAAATTTTGAAAATACAAAGTTTATAATAAAACATTTAATGATAAAAATTCAAACACTAAATTCCTAAAATTATATGTTATAATATATAGATTTTTTTTTGCTAAAAACAATAACGGCACATAATGAAATTCAAATTCTCACCTCGTATTTATTTTATCAAATAAAATGACATAAACTTCCATTCTAAATCACATATATTAAGCTTTTATAATAAATGTCGTCAGATATCAATTAAATACAACACAAGAATTTATGACTAAAACTAATTTTTATTTAGTAAAAAATTGACATCAAACTAAAATTTTTAATTTGTTGATTCAAACTTAAATAATATTTAAATATGGACTTGAATATAAATGATTTCCGTAAATAAATTAAAATGAGCTTAACTTAATCATAGATACATATTTTAAAATTCTCCCCATTTAAATATAAACGAACCAAAAATGATCCCTTTAGTAATTGAACTTTAACATTTGTATTTAAAATGTTTGTAAATTTTATAAAATTTAGAATATGTGGAGTAATTAATAGATTTAAATGTAAGATGATCTAAAATTAAAATTGTTTGAGAGGAGAGAGAATGAGAAAAGGGAAGAGAGAGAGAGAGGGAGAATTATATAAATAAATAATAATAAAATAAAATTTAAAAAAAAAAAGGTGGAAGATGATGATGATGGGTTGGGGTGAAAGTGCATGTGATTGGTCGTGAATACAGCTAAAAGCAAAGCTAATATGAGTTAAGAATGGAAAGGGCCATGGGCTTTAAAATAATTAATTATTCCTGTATCATTTTTAGTTCCAGTTCTGACTTCAATTAACGTGGAATTATTCAAAGAAGACAATGTTCAGTAGTAGTAGATTTGAACAGTTACAAATAATATCAGAATCAGACATCGAATGGTGTATAAGTGAGGACGTTGAGCCCTCAAAGAGAGTGGATCATGAGATCTCACAATCAACTCCCTTAAAGGGCTCAAGTTGGAGAGAAAAATGAAGCATTCGTTATAAAAGTATAGAAACATTCTCCTAACAAACACGTTTTAAAATCTTGAATGAAAATCAGAAAGAAAAAATTGTATCATAGAATATCACATGTCCACCTTATATCTTCTATAATTCAAATAATTTATGTGATGTCTAAGTGAATAAGAATTCAATAAAAATTGTATTATATGTAATTGATGACATAATTATATGTATTTGATGATATAAATAGTTCCAATCAAATTAAGCAAATTTATTTTTAATTTATGCTAATTAAATATGTTCGCAGTTTCTGCAAAATTGCTATAATTTCAAAGAAATTTCTTTTTTTAAATAAATAAATAAAAATTCAAACAATAGTATTTAATTTCCTCCCACATCGAAATTTTCTCTTCATTTATTTATTTCCTTTATACCCAATATTTTTATATGAGTATAAATTAAATTATATTAAGAATTCAAATAACTTTCTTATTATATTAAAAATTCAAATAACTTAAATTATATGAGGATAGAAAATTAAAATAAATTAACAAAAGTTTTGAAAATTGGTAGAGAATTTTCAAAAAATAAAAAAATAATAATTAAAGTTTCAACCTAAACTTGCAATTACTTGCTTTAATACTAATGGCATTATTGGCAGTCAAACTATCCACAACCAACAAGCAATTCCCCAAAATTTTTACTTTCTTAAGCTTCAGCTGTCCCAATTTCACGGCCACCGGCGCCGCCGCACGGAGCTGCAATGGGATGCGGCCGGTCCGCTGCTGCTCCGCTAACGCCGCCATCAAAGTGTTTCCTTTCACCGTCCTTCCCATCAAATCCACGTCCAGTGCCGTCCTGTTCCGGTGGCCATGGTAGAACACCGGCAAGGGCCCTTGACAAAGCTTCTTGTCCGTATACCACACGCTCAATACTCCTCCCTTTTCATAGTATATTCCGATCTTCTCATTCGGGTTGTAGGCTGTGATCTTCACGTCGAACCTATTAAAGTTAATATTAATTAATACTAAAAAAAAAATTAAAACCCTAAGAAATTTAGCATTAATTTTACTCTAAACAAACTTTATGATTGATTACATAATGAATTAACCAAACCTTGCATAGAGTGACATGTCGAGGTTGAGTCGGAGATCGCTGATAGTTAAGGAGTTGATGGAATACGTCGGAATTTTTGGCTTGAAAACGAGATAGAGAATTCCGATGACGCCTCCGATCACGACGAGTAGAAGAAAAATAACACAAAATGTCCAACAAAAACATTTGCAAACACACGAAGATCTTGTCTTCTTGGAAGGGAGAACTTTGGGAGGCGGCGCTGATGGCGGAGGAGGCGGTGGTGGTGGCGGACGTTCAACGTCGGTAACTGGGTGGATTCTTTGAAGGTGATCTGCAAGTGCCATTGGAAGAGTAGTATGAAGAGAAGGGTTTAGATGAAAGTTAGGGTTATAATAAGAAGGCCAAATGGGAGGGGTCGTTCACCTAACTTTTACTTACCATTTTATCCTTTTCATTATTTTATGTTTTATTTTCTTCACCTAAATTATCAACTCCATATAAATTAAATTAAATTTATGAATTACAAATTTTATGTAACCAAATCGCACCGCTAGTAGATATTGTTCATTTTGGTTCGTTACGTATCGACGTCAACCTCACGATTTTAAAACGTGTCTACTGGAGAGAGGTTTCCACACATTTATAAAAAATGTTTTGTTCCCTTCCACAACTGAAGTGGGATCTCACAATCCACCTCATTGGGGGCCAGCATCCTCGCTGGCACACCGCCCCGGTGTCTGGCTCTGATACCATTTGTAACAGTCTAGGAATGTTTCGTTCCCCTCTCCAACCGATGTAGGATCTCAAAATCCACCCCCTTGGGAGCTCAACGTCCTTGCTGGTACATCGCCCGGTGTCTGGCTTTGATACCATTTGTAACAATCTAGGAATGTTTCGTTCCCCTCTCCAACCGATGTGGGATCTCAAAATCCACTCTCTTGGGAGCCTAGCGTCCTTGCTGACACACTGCCCGATGTCTGGCTCTGATACCATTTGTAACAATCCAGGAATGTTTTGTTTCCCTATCCAACCAACGTGGGATCTCAAAATCCACTCCCCTAAGAACCCATCATCCTCGCTAGCACACCACTCGGTTTCTAGCTCTGATACCATTTGTAACAGTCTAGAAAATGTTTCGTTCCTTTCTCCAACCGATGCGAGATCTCAAAATCCACCCCTTTGGGAGTCTAGCGTCCTTGTTGGCACACCACTCACTATCTAGCTCTGATACCATTTGTAACAGTCCAATCCCATCATTACACATCGCGGTTAGCCTCATGGTTTTAAAACGCATATGTTAGAGAGATGTTTCCACACCCTTATAAAAGAATGCTTCGTTCTCCTCTCTAACTGACGTGTGATCTCACATTTTATGATTTTATAAATTTCATTGTAACAAATTTCTGTCATTAGCACATTTATTTAAATATTAATTCTTTAATGTTTAGGTCAAATATATAAAAAAAAAATGGCATAAATAAATTAAAAAAACACACATTTATTTTATTTAAAAAAAAAAAAAAAAAAAAAA